ATATCGCCGGTAAATCTATTCTTTACACTGGATTTATTTATCTTCTCTGTGATGGGTTCGTAACTAGTATTTAGTGGTGATCATATTCAATCTTGACTCGATTGCCACTAAAAGCTCAATACGCTGTACTTTAAATCTGCAAAGGCAGACAGACAATAGAATGCATAGCGTACGAGTGAAGCAAAGAGAAGTAAAGTGGAGAAGAAGAGCGGGCCAAATTTATTTGATTTGCCATTACAAAGCACTGGTAGTCTAACAAAAGTAAGCAGGACCTGTGATCAACTACGTCAGCAGCCCACAAACACACTCAAATAAAAACAATCAAGGTTATAGGCTAATAAATGATAAGTTCAAAGGCCATGTGTGGTGTTTGAATGAACTAGTAACTTCTTGTTGTTGTGGAATGCTTGATTTCGAATTCTAAATACAATACATTCGTTTGTGCATATCTTTAATTCTTGATACATATACTTCTAAATACTACACTGGCGTCGCGATGGAACTTGTAATGGAACAGCTAGATATTCATTCTACTTCTGAAGCTTTTGAAGATTATTTGGAAAGGTTTGAAATCTGGAGTATGACCAGGAAAGATGTCAAAGATGATAAAATTGTGGCTCATTTCCTAACATTCATTGGAAAAGAAGCGTACAGCTTATTGAAAACCTTGGCATATCCAGAAAAACCTATTTCACTTCCCTATGCAATGCTTAAGGAGTTATTATTGAATCATGTAAAGTGCCCTGGTTTTGAATGCCGCGAAAGAGCGAAATTTCATAAGATGATTCGTCAAAATGACCAAAATGTTAAGGAATTCATTCTTGAATTGCAGAAACAGGCTGTCAAATGTAATTTTGGTGATCAACTTCATGTGCAGCTGAGAGACCGATTAATTGCAGGAATTAACATACCTAGTTTGGAAAGAGAGCTGTTAAGAATGTCAAACTGTTCCTTTCAAGATGTTAGAACTGCGTGCATTAACTACGAGGCGTTGAATGAACTTGATATTCAGTCGATGAAGATTTCCAATACTTTGATTAGTTGTCATGATGAAGAGCAATCTCAGGGTCAATCAAAATTGTGTTCGTTTAACAGAGGTTCCTATTCACGTGTAAATATGAACGGTGTCTCAAAAAAGAATTACAAAGGAAATCAAAAAGGTGAGACCAAGTTTGGCAAATGTTTATCATGTGGAAAACTTCATTCTCGTTATTAATGTACATTTCGTAATGCTAAATGTTTTAGATGTGGTAAGATAGGACACATTCAAACAGTATGCAAAGCTACTGTTCATTTTGCCTCAAGTAGTACTAAAGCTTGTAATTTAGATCCCAATAATTCAGCTGATCCTAATGATCATTTATCTTTAACTACCATTTCGAAAGGTAATGCTCATATTCAAAAGCGACTATATACATCACTTGGTTCATTTCATGACTTTATTGTGGACACAGGCAGTATAGAGTCCATTATTTCATTCAAGAACCTGAAATCGTTAGATCCGAACGTTGTGATACGACCCACTGAAGTATCAATATTGGGGATTACTGGACACAGACTGCCTATACGAGGATGTTGTGAATTGCTAATAAGAGATGATGATTCCTCATACATACCATGTGAATTCTTAGTTAGCGAAACGGGACTGTCAATACTGGGTTTAAAGAATTTGAAAAGGCTTAAAGTGGAGTTGTCTCTCCTAGTTTCTAAAGAAAATTCTGATGCTTTACTTAAAGATTCGATAGCCACGTGTGCTAAGTGCAGTGGAGGTATGAAAACTGCTATTGATTCTATTGCCGCCTCAACATTTAATGAGCTGGAGAGGGGAGTAGATACCTTTTTACTGCAATATAGAAATGCCAGACATTCAGTGACGAAAGAGACTCCATCGAAACTATTAAAAGGAAGAATTCCTCGGTCGAATATGAGATGTTTGGAGTCTGCAGGAGTTACATATTATCGTGGCAATGATCTTCGACCATCCACGGGGATTGTTCTGAAGAATGTTGGGAAATCTATGGTGCGACTTCTAGATATCAATGACTTAAGTACACACAATCGACATGTTGATCAAATACAATTCCAAGAGCCAGGTGAGTCTGTTCCAATTTCGGTTGTTAATTCTAATACTAATGAGAGCATTCTAGATAATACAGAGCCTTTATCCAATACACTGTCGGACAGACACAGGATGAATTTGAGAAGAAGACGTACAATTGATTACAGACATATACATTCCAATTTAAGCTGCGGCGGATGTGGTGTTTGAATGAACTAGTAACTTCTTGTTGTTGTGGAATGCTTGATTTCGAATTCTAAATACAATACATTCGTTTGTGCATATCTTTAATTCTTGATACATATACTTCTAAATACTACAACATGTCAGTAATAACTTTAGAAGAATGGATTAATTAGTTCATTCAAACCCTCAGACAAAACATGTGGGTTCGGAAAATTAGTACACTTTACAAACTGACGGATGAAGAGGGATTGATAAAAATGTGTAGCCTTCTGACTATCTCAAACTAACAAATAAATTTACTTTGGGTCCATTTCTCCTGACCACTAATAGTTTACACAAAACTCATCCCCTTCTCTCAGATTAGTTAAAAAAATGCCATAATAGCTAGGAATCATGTCCTGTGTTAAATGATCCAAATCACGATCTAAATTCGAATTCTCTTTGTACTTCATGCAAATGGACTACATATTAATGATAATCACAATGGTAATCATAGTAACTAGAAGAAAACGAAGAACAGGAGAAGCTAAGCCTGGTTCAGTTCCACACACCAGCATTATTTTAACATTTTTCTATGACCCATGGGCAAAACTTGTCTCGATTTTCAGATAATCTTCGATTATGAGTGTTTCTCATGCCTTACCGATGGATGTCTTCGCATATTCACAAGTTCCTCCCCAGTTATCAATGATCTTGTCCAGAGATACTAACATTTTCGTCTTTTCAATCAGGTGTTATTTCGTTGGTGCCCACTAACTTCTGTACTAGAAACTCTCGTTTTTCCTAGGAATGTTGAGGCCTGTTTTTCCAGAAGCCATTTCCAAAATGAAAATTTTCGCCAGCATATCTTACTGTTCATGCGGTCGAAAAGCTATATTCATCGGATATTCCGAATCATCAGGCCCAGTCCAAGGTCTTGATTGTAACCCAGGCATATCCTACTATCTTAAAGCCTTCAAAATCTTTTCAGCGACCAGATGAAAGAAAATGGGCATGAAAAGGCTACCTTATCCACCACTATTCATTTCTTGAATTGCATCACCCAGTTACTCTCTGTGTATGATGTTAAAAACCATTTCTACCAAGGAGTTCTCTGCGGTGAATTTTTAGCTACCTCCTGTGTGTGAATGCAGTGTACCCAAGAAACTATTTCTAGGTACTGAAAAGAGTTGATGAAAACTCGACAAAGTTTTGAGTAAGCTAATCTCTTGCGATGAGTTCCTTTCAGTTAATTTTTCAACCATATGTAGCAGTCCGAGATTCAGTTCTTAAACAGTCGTGACTTATGAAGGTCAGCAAATTGTTATGTGTCAGGGACCTGGTTACTTATGCTTTTGAAAAGTATCTCGATTGTGACAATAAAATAAGCCCTCGAATTCTTCCACTAACTAGAATCCCGTGTCCGGGAGAATTCGACTTGGTAAGAGTATTTATGTTTTACCAGTGTTCGACACTTCTAAAACCTTTTAAAGAGAACGTAGAGTATCTTCGCAATAAACTTAACAGGGGCCTACCGATCCCCACAGTAAGCAGCTTTGTAGGCTTTCTACATAGTGCTGGAAAAATGAAATAGTTTTAAATAGCTAACCGATCGTCGTCAAGAGCAAGGACTGCCAAAGCGTATCAAATAAACCGAAGCTGAATCAAACCAGAAGTCATTAATAAAGGGGATTTATGGTATATTCGAACGATGGTTAGGATGTTTATGAATAATTGAACTAAGCTTGCAATTTGATGGGAGCCGTTAAATTTCACGGCGTACAGAATTGTGATCTGATGAGGATACGCAACGGACAGCCTTCAACTAGGGAATGTTCAGTTGAGCTGAGGTCAACGAAAACGTCGAAGACTTACCAAACTATTTATTTCGAGGTTTTAATAATCCCTAATGGCTTTATATTTAGTGATATGGTGAGTAGAAAGCTGTATAGATTTTTAAGTGATTATTGCAAACAAAACCTGCATCTAATATTTAAACTGAAGACAAATAGGTACCCTCATCCTTTAACACCCTTTTCCTTCCTGTCCATATGATGCCTTCATATCGAATGTTTTGATTCAGACTTAGAAGTTCAGGAACAATTTCTTCCTAGCTACTTAGGTGTACTTCACAGCACTGGACTTCAGCCTCTCGTATAGATGATCTTCGAAATCTTCGGTATACTTCTGTTTAACGTGACCAGATTTACTATGATATTTCCCTTCATGTTTGGGGTAATGGTTTGAATATTGCTTTCGTACATTTTCTCTGAAAATCAGTGCTGCTTCTTTCTTGTGAGGTGTCTTCTTCTTTATAAACTGAAATTGATCTTTTTCGGGCATACGGTTTGACAAACGGTATGATTTGTCCAGGTTTTAGTGAGCAAGTAACATTTTCTGATAGGAAGTGTTACTTGTTTAATGACCTATATCCTCGACCTCAAGAGCGATAACGTAAACGCGGACAGTTTGTTAGTCCAGTTAGGATGTTGGAAGCTAGTAATTCCAGTGAAGAAGTGAGAAAGACACTACCTCCTAAACAGACATTTTTGTCACTATCCTGGGATTACTTTAAATTGTTACTGACATGCGCTTCCATTTATGGCGTCGGCTACTTTAGACTTAGTAGTAGTTGGGTCTTGATCGGGTCTCTCGGATACTTCGTTTTGCAACATACTAAGAGCAAACATTCGAAGTTGATAAGTTCAATAAAAGCAATTGGAGAAGATGAAAAGGCATTCATAATCCAGAATTTTACTGTACGGGACCTCCCATCATGGGTAGGTCTCACATATCAATAAAATTATCATATCTAAATTATCATCAAGGTTTACTTTCCAGATGTCGAAAGAGCAGAATGGCTAAACAAAGTAATAAAGTCAAAAAGCGAAACACTTTTAGGTAATTAAACGAATGTGGCCATCCATAAGTGAATACGCAAGGGACATTATCGTTTCATCTATCGAGCCTGTCGTAGCACAGAATCTACCAACTGCACTGACACCTTTTAGTTTCTCTACTATTGACTTAGGTGACACGGTAAATATACTCTTCTGGTTATTCGTATTATAGCCTCCTAGAGTCGGTGGTGTGAAGGTCTATATGAATGAAAACATCAGAAGAGATGAAATCGTTATGGACCTGGACCTTATGTAAGTTCAATTGTATTTAATCTTTGCACAGGCTTTACAGTGACGCAAGAATCAAAGTAAACTTAGGAAAAGTAAAAGCAGGTGTGAAGGAGTTTGAGGTATTTGTCTATCGTTAATATCACGAGTTTTTTGTCGTTAATTATGTTTATATGCATCTATTCGTTCAGTCTTTTATTGATAATTTGCCAGATATAAAGTAATTTCGTCAGTATATCTTAATACCTGCAAGTCATTTTGATATCATATCTTATATTATTGTTTACGTCGTTGACGTATAGCAGAAATAACACTAGTCTCATAATTTGTTTCCTTACCAACTCTATCCAGCTCATATTTTGGGCTGGATAGTTTACAGTTTAGTCTTTATTCCTGTTGGTTATACAACTGGGAAGCTTTTCTTCCACGCAACTGCGTTGCTTCCGTTTCCAATATGGTTTTATTTAAGTAACGATGTAGTATCTAGCTACTAAAGACTTTCGCTCGATGGTAACTGTATTTGGAGGAACATTGGGTTTTCTATTTGTTAGGAAACTTTGAAAAATTAGAAAATCTCTAGAAACGGTATTACTTTCCATGGAATGTTAGTCTGTGTCTATGTGGTCTCGTAATTAGTAAGACATTTCGCTGAATGAACTAACGTAATTTTTCAAGAAAATTCAAGTATTTTGTTATGGAAGTTGGTCTCAAATCAATTTTCCAGTGCTATAATCACGTCTTCAGAGTTAGCGACAGGCAAAAGTATAGGTACCTGGTAATAAACTATATGCGTTTGTAGTAGCCTAACATGTGTTCTATCTAGTTCTTCAAATTTGCGTTACGTTTGTGTAGTAAAGGGATCTGAGGAAGCCATTCTGTATTTTCTAGACGTTGCAGAATTAATCGAACAGTACTCTTATATAAAAGCTATTTTCACTAATTATTTTGAAGCATCTCCATTCAGTGCTGCAATACAACACTGATCCAACTTATGAGCTAATACAGGCTATTCAGAAATCTTTTAGGATTGGAGTTAGCGTCTTAGACGCTCTAAAGTTAACTTTATCCGACCAAATGTTTCTAGCTTCTATTGTCGAAAGCCGATGAAATTCGTGCTATATTGTTCAGCATATTTGTTTTGCTTATTGCGGTTTGATTACCTATGTTAAAGTTTCGGAAGCCTCGTTGGTTCCGGTCATAATTATACGGATAGTTTCCTTATAGCAAGTTTAGTTTAAGTATTTTCACATTTTAAAATATGACCATTACGTTTTGCATATCAATTTTGAGCATACTAGATTCCAAAGCAACGATTATTACGCTCAAGTCTATAGCTACCAATGTGGCTCAGTCAAACTCTTAATGGCTTCATGGACTGACACCATGCTTCGGTTTTGCCGCCCCTTGGTTCCTTCCGGCCTACACCAGACATTTCTCGTCCAGGCAGGCGGTGGTTCGATATACGTAACACATGCCCCAAACATAGTTGATGGAGAATTACAACCTTATCAGTCAATTTTCCATCCTTACCTAATAATAACCTTCAAACTTTACTGAATAGACTTCCAAGTTCCAATACAGTTCTAACGCAAAATCAGAGGTGTGTACTGAGTCGAGACAATCTGTCTCAAAACAGATTTTGTATTCATCTCTTCGAATCCTGCGAGTAGAAGAGGTTGTAAATCTGCACTGCTGATGAGTTCCATACCAAGACGGAACGGCCATCCAGTGCTTCAGGTTTTTAATGGTGGTCTAACAATTATCGACTGATGATTTCGGTGTCATAGTGTTAATGATCCAAACATACATAGATGTTTCGGTAATGATTACTGAACCTATGTTCAAAAGTGACGGTGGTGGCAATCAAACGCTGTCTAAAATAGCCCTAAAGTTGGAATTTCTTCGATTCTTTTATAACGCTTGACTAAATGTTTATAATCAGTTGATGAGTACTAGTTCTGCTATTCCTATTACTAGAACGATATGTTTATTATATTCCATTCTAATGTAACTGTTTTTCACCTATTTTTATTTCATTTGAAATGTAAGCTACGCGGTACACTACGAGTTGTTATGAAACCTTTAGTTCCAAAAGTCCCGTTTGCTGGTGCGGTTACCGTATGCTTTCTGGATAGTCCGGTAAGTATTTATGGTGGATTTCTTCCGTTTCAGTACCAGTGCAAACTTTTTTAGAATGCATATTATCTAAATGCTCTTATAATCAGGTTCTTCAGACTCCACCTCTTAGCTATTGGCCTCATTCAACCTGTTTCGTATAAGAAACACAATCGGACACCTGAAATCTAACTTTTGTCTACCCAGAAATATTTTTAGTGAAACGTTCCTCCCACTAACCACTGTATTTACTGCAATAACTTTTGTTGGTGCAACTAACTTACTGAACACCAGATATCAGTCAGTCAGATGCAACGTAGAATTTCGTACGTAAGTACATCAGTTCATGTTGCCGTACCACATCAGCACAGAGACGTCTTTGTCAATTCAAATCCAATAGTAGTAGAGGTAGTAAGGGTATTAGAAGTAATCGGAGAGGTTAGGATTAGAAGATATTATTCAAGAAGTATGATTCAGTGGGAAAAGTTTACAAAGTTGAAGAATCCAGAAGATTAGGATTTGAGAGAACACAAAGAATAAATGCACCTGCGCCATTGCAAACCGTTTTGAGCCGTGTTATTCAGGGTCGCTAATCATCAATTATTATCATCTCGCGGACCCCAACCAGGTAGTCGACAACTACCGACACCGGATATCATCTGTTTCGAAATAATTTTATTCTCGTTGGATCCATAAAGTATTGATAACTCATTTTGTTGATGTGTAGTATTATGAAAAGTACTCAAATTTCAATTGTTTATAAAATTGTGTTAGATTTTTTGCTTTAGAGAAGAAAGGAATGAATTATTTTTTCCATTTGTGTGGAGGTTGTTTATGTCAGAAAAGCTCGGATTTTAGCACCAGTTATGGCTTTTAAATATGTATTCTAAAAATAATCTCGGGTCCCACACCAATTTACAGTTATGATAACTTCAATACATAACGGAATGTCACATCTAGAAAAATGAGGGTAAATTGTTTTAATCGACGTGATTCACAAATTAATTTAACCAAGTATTTATCTCACTGATTTTAGTAATTAGAATCATATGACCCAGGTTAGACTCACAATTATAGGCGTCATCATTGTCGTCCAAGCATACGTTGTTCTAGTCATCAGTCTTGTAACCACAGAGTTCTTCGTTGCAAATAGTGTAAAAAAGGCATTAGTACGCTAAAAAATGGTATGGCTACAACGTCCTGGATCTTTTAAAATGACGTGTTGCGCTTGACCCAGTTGTTGGAAACCAATAATAGAAAGGTTTACGTTGAAGTCAAAATTATGAAAAGAACTATGAAAATAAATCCATCCACATTTAGCATCGCTAACTTTTGAATTTTAATCCAAATACCATAACGCAATCTCATTGAGCTCCATAGTGATGCAGTTTTGTGCAGAAAATGAATATACCAAGATCATTTGCAAACAAAAAACGTTCACGCTGATGCGGTCTCATGTATCGCTTATGTAGTCTACAAAGTGCATAAGACTTAAGACACCACCTTACAGCGCATCACGTGTGACATGATGAGCTTCTGAACAGTGAGACGTTTGCTTCAACTCTTTGGTGTTTACGATTCTACAGGATACTAGTTTATTGGTAGGTAACTGATGTCCGAGACTAAGTTCAGTAGTGTCAAAAGAGTCAACATTACAGATTATCCGAGATCGAGATTTAAGGAAGCAATATTATGAGTTAGTAATAAGTTTTTTTAACAAGCGAATATTTAGAAGTTTGACGTTCACATTTTTCCATCAGTTTGGAGTTTTTCATATCCCTGTCATTGTGTGAGTCATTCGTATTTCCAGATTTAAGACGGTGTTTTGTTCATGGTTTCTAGCACTTAAGAATAATACCTACTTCCGGAAAAAAGTGTAAACAGCTTTATTAGACGTACTGAAATATCAGATCCGACACATTTGAAGTAAATGAATGCGATTCTTGCTACTGTACAGTGCATTGAGGCCTTTATGTAGATTATAGCTAGTGTGGAGATAAGTGAAAGAAATAGTTCCAAGTTTTGTGACTCAATGTTATTTGGAAGGTCTTATTGGTTACAAGTATGCCTCTAGAAAAGTTAGCGGTAGTTTTACTGTCATCTATAGTCCCTCACTTACAACGTAGAACTTCGTACATGAGTGCATAGGTTCATGTTGCCATACCCTACCAGCACAGAGACTATCAAATCCCATAATGGTAGAGACAGTAAAAGTATTAGCAGTAATGGAGAAAATTAGGGTTCGAAGATATGATTCGAGAAGTTTAATCCAGTGAGATATCTTTAGTAAGAGGGCGATAGAGATTATGAGGAATTCAGATGGTTAAAACTTGAGACAACACAACGAGGGGATATACCTGCGCCATTGCAAACGATTTTGAGCCGTGTCATTCAAGATCTTGAATTCGGCTAAGCATTACATTAGCTGAAATGATGTCACATAACTTCGATAACCGACAAGTAGTATGGTCAATAAACTTTCATTCATGGGAGTTCAAAATCTCAATAGCCTTCTTTTCCATCGAATACTGATCTTTATACTGTGTCAGTTTTTTATTAAGCATTGTGTATTTGGTGTGTTAATTAAGAAATAGTATTTATATTTTATGTACAATTTTTATTTCAATTTATGTGAATTAATGCACACTGACTGACAAAGCTTACTAGATCAGACTCCTACATAGTTTTAAAGATCGAGGAAAACTTTTGTGATTTGGACCTTCAAACCACCGTCACAATCACCATGCATTCTCTGTCTTAAAAATAAATGCTGCTTGTTACATCACTTTCTCTTTCTACTGAAGTGAAGTTTATAGATAAAATTGTTATAATCTTCGCTATGAAATTAACAATAAACCTTCCAACTTCCTTACTGTATCACATGTTCGGTATACCACACATATCTTCAACCAGAACTCCAAAGTAGTCATAGGTACTGTTATTGTTCACATTCATGATACAGCTCATTACATTGAGGCTCTAATATAAAGCTACAACGCATCATAATATATAATTCATTCACTACATAATTAAAACGTTTTAAATACAAATATGAGTTACAAATTTATATGTCATTTATTGTAATTTGTTGGCTTTAAAAAATATGTTGGAATTTAATTAATAAAAGCGAGTTTTGCCTGAAAGTACTACGAAACAACTAAACAAGTTCACATTGAAAATATACAAGCTTAATCACCAAACATTAACTACTGATAGATTCCATTTTTTAACCTGTCCTTACATAAAAACTGTGTGTGTAAATAAATGTGGTAGACCTTTGTAGTTTGTTTCCTCGTATTATGTATTATTTGCAAAAATATTGATCAGTAACATTTAATTTTTATTTTATTTTTTAGTATATCAATTTCTCTTTAACAGATATGGGAAATATCCTGGGACTTCCTGGTTTGCAGTAGGTTTACTTTAATGTGTTTTTTTTTAAGTTCCGTTACTTGTTATTCAACAAAGATATGCTTCCAGGACATATGATCTTGTTTTATTTCTTGTACATTTGACGCCAAATATATGGATAAGTTATAGTAGTCTGAACTTTGATTTACTGATAATCATCATCTTTCTACCGTCAATGCACTCCTATACATAAAAATGTATGCTGTTTGATAATTGTAGTTTGGTTTGTGAAGTCAAAGTATTGAATAGTGGATTTCAGAGTAAAAGCGTTTATATATGTGTATAACTGTTAATTGATCTTTTCAAGATCTTGAACACTGACAGTCGGCAGTAATTTTACTTGCAATTTGACGTAAGCAGGTGATAATTTATCCCTTCGGCGTTATAACTATCCTAAACGGAGGCCTTCCAACTCCCTGCACAGAGTTCAAATTTTTCGAATTATTTGTTCTGGTTAGCGGTTTTTTTAGCTTCTGACCGTACGTAACACTAGAAGGGCTCCAGGCATAGTTAACAATTACTAAGACACGCTAAATTTGTCGGGAATAAAGAAGACACGGTGTCATCAAGAAAGATTAAAAATGCAAAAGATATTATTTTCAATACTGATACAAATATTAATTGGTGTTAGTACCATGAACGATTGAATCGATTTCTGTCCATGCGCCTTGCAAACTCTCTTGGCCATTTCAAGTTAAGTTTATTTGATAAAACATTATTCTAGCTTCAACAAACTTCATCATCAAAAGTAACTATATTTCTCTCAATTTTTCCTAGTTTGAAATTTATGATGAAATATATCCTATTTTTTTCTCTCCTACTCTATATTGGTTGTAAAATATATGATCATTAAACGGTAACTCCAACTAGATAATATTCATCTTGCGTTTGCACTTTAATCCACAGCATACAAGTGTATCGTTTAAGTGCTCTCATGATGAAAACATGATTTATGATTTGAACTCGTTAGTTGAGTAGTTAATCTTTTGGAAAGCTTTTACAACAAGAAAATGCAAATAAGTAGTAGATGAAATATCTGTTTGTTTCAAACCAAAAGAAAGGAATATTTATGTCGGATGTTATTTTTTAGTTAAATTAAGTTTCTTAGTTCGTTTTTGGGAAATTCAATGTTTGAAGTATTCATAATACAAGATTTATGATATTCAAGAACCAAAACTGATGTATTTTAACCCATTTTAATTAGATGCAAATCATCTTTGAAATATGTTAGACTTTGATTTCGCCTAGATGTTTTATATATTCTTTCTACTGTTTAACAAATTTCATATTTGTTTTAAATTCATTCAGACAGACATTGAATACAGTTATTCGTAATGTTGTCAACCAGTTGGTCGTTCTTCCGAATCGGTTGCCTGTTCAACTAGTTCCTGACGTTGACATACAGCGTTTGAAATACCCATTACCTGAAGTAAGTGCATATGTAAAGTCACATTAGTATAGTATATCTCAACAGTGCTTAAACCAAATATAGAGCGTAGCTAGTATTGTTAAAAGTAATACCGAATTGTGTCATTCACTGATGATATTATAGATTTACATTTTTGCTTATACCACTTGATAATTCTAAATTGTTGCAGTTAGACCTATGGATTTAGGTGTTTTAGTTATCTCAATTGATGAAACTGTAGATTTTTAACGATTGGATTCGTTTATTCACACTTTCCGAGAGCCTGTGAGCAAGAAATGATGGATGAACACCCTAGGCAGTCAAATGTAGTTGTGGTACGAATTTACTATTTGTTGTGCCGAACCTTCAGGTTGATGTCTGAAAGATATTTAGAAAGGTAATTGTAGCTCTTAGAAAGAACAATAATGTTGATGTAAACGATACCTTTTCGTTTATGTTTTTTCAACGTTTCCCTAGTTCGACTCCACAATGCGTTCACTTTTTGTATTTTTATGATATATTGAACTATACCATCTCAATAAATAGATAGATACGTATTTTCTTCCTTTAATTTTGAATAGAGAAATTTTGTTTTGAGTCATTATTTCACGGTTTATTTACTTTTGCTATTCGATTTATTACTGCACTTTCAATATTGATCAACACTAAAAGGGTGTCCTTCATATCAATATCATATCTGGTCGAAATCTTAAAGCAGGTGATAAAAATATGGTTGGACACAATACATCTGATCCATATTGTGTTATACGAGGTAACTGTCGACTTAATGCCATATTTGTTCTCTATATTTAGTAAAATAAATATACTTAGAAGATTAATTCTACATGTTAGTTTTATTAGCCCATTATCTTTCTGAAACTTAGCTTTCGATAGTTGTTAATATTTGATTGTTGTAACTGATTAACTATCACTCCTCTTGACGTGAATAAATTTTTAATACTTATCGTCTTCAGTAACTTGTCAAAATGAACCGTTTGCTTTGTCGTTACTATAAAGCAACTTTTGATATCCACTAGTTCATTGGCAGACTTTATACGAAGCAAAGATTTAATTGATTGGAATGTCAGTGACCTATATTATTGATTTCTTTCTCTAATTTTCTTAGACATTTAGTCACATTTTAACAGTCTGTTGTTCGTAAAAAGTTAATGATGAATATCCAGTAAATTATTGTTCATTTTATTTCAAGTACTATGTTTAATGTTTACCAACCTGATTACTAATTAGTATAAATCATATATTCTGGAAACAGTTTATCAACAAAATATGTACACTTTATCTTTAGACTTCCATTTGCAAAACTTTGATCGTACCACACATTCGGATCTGACACTCTTCTCTTCGGTAGTAACTTCTAGGCGACGCTCCAATGCATACTACTTATTAGCCGCATTGCGAGTAGTATTCACCATAATTCTGAAAAGATTTTTCAGTATTGTTTAGATTTAGTTGTTTAAACCAAAATCTCACTTATTTCATTCCTCAACATTCTAATATTATATTAATAAGTGAGATAAAGATATTGCCAAATATAGCGTAGTCACAGAGAAAGATTGCAGTATTCAAATTAGATCGAAACTACTAATTTGTGTGCCTATATGAGGATTCGGACATTTTATCAAGTTTAGCCTCAAAGTCTTTTGTCGAATTCCTCTTCACCATACAAAATATTACTTCTCTTCAACTGTATGAACTTGACAACTGTTATATTTCTACTCTTTCCTATATGTGATCAGTTTTCTGTATTTTGGATATATTGACTTTCAGAATCCATATCCATCGCTGTCTGAGGCCCCTCAGTTAAATCTGTATGCATCCCACAATTAAAACTCGTAATGACTCGAAAAACTTGCATGTAATAAAATAAAAAATGTCATCAATAAAAAGTATATTGTTTCAATTTCGCAAAAATTGACATGTTTGATTCTCTTCATTCACAGTTGGTGCTAGAACGTTTACTACTTCGGTTGTCAAAGAAACACTAGAACCAGTTTGGAATCAACATTTTGAAGTAAGTCATTTAATTTTCTTCATTACCGTTCTATGTTTAGTCATCTAATGCCTCATTGTTTCGATTGGTTTCTTACTTGTATCGCCTTTTCTACACATCTTTAAATTTGATCGAATTGAAGCTCACTATATTCAAAGTTTAAGATGGTCGAGTTTTTCTGGACTACTTTTGGATTACCTTTCATTTCAGGTAGATTTCTAAGTATCACAGTGTATTTAAAGCGTTCGTAAAACGTTTCTCAATGACTCGATAACCTCATAAATATATAAAATGTAGATCTCGCTGACTAGTGGATTTATTCGCAATATTTCCAAAGTAATATAAACTCTGAATATGGATTATTTATTCATTGACATGTGCAGGTTAAACTTCACGTCATGTGGTACAATAGTGTTACTTTAATTTGTTTACTGGGTTTGAAAATAACTTCGTAGTGTTATGGCTTCTTCCTTTATGATTTTAACCATTCCTCTTCCATGGGGTTATTTTATAATCCTAGAAAGATTCTTATTTGGAACCAACTTAAAATACATACGCTACATTATTTACTGAACACTGCAAATTTGTATCCGCGTAAAGTGGTGCCTAATGCTTGACGTACTACTCAACAGCAATGCTGTCCTTAGGAAACGAGTTCTAGGTAGGGATGGCAAATCAATAGATGAAGTAGTGAAACTTCATCAGTTGAGGTGGTTGTGACATGTATTACGAATGCCCGACCACCAACTGCATCGACGAGCCATGTTTTGTGATGTAGGGGCGGCCAGACCGAATCCATGAAGTCACTGACAAGTGGACTAAGTCATGTTGGTAAATGTAGGCTACCTGGTTGGGGTCCATAAGACGAAAGTCACCAATGGTTAGATCTCTTGAATGACACAGCTCAAAATCGTTTGCAATGGCGCAGGTGCATCCACTCTTTGTGTTCCCTCGAATCCTAACCTTCTGAATTCCTCATCATCTCTATCTTTCTCCTTCTAAATTTATCTCACTGAATTATACCTTTCGAATCGTATCTTCGCTCCCTAATCTTCTGCATTACTGATAATACTTCTACTATCACTATCACTCTTGGATTTGAACTGACAGTTGCGTCTCTGTGCTGATGTGGTATGGCAACGTGAACTGATGTACTTACGTACGAAGTTCTGCGTTGTATCTGTCTGCTTTCAAGAGCGCCAGGATTCTAGTAACTAAATGTGCCCCACGATAAGACTTATATATTCTACGGCTGCTAAAGCTCTTAAGCCATAGAGCCCCTAATGGCCTAAAATAGTGTTTTATATGAGAGGCTTTTTCATAAGGATTTTAAATGTCCCGCGAATGCTATAGGTTTATTTGATTTCAGTCTTCCCGAAATCATTGTAAACAACAATGAGTCATAAATGGATATACCTCTACTTTTTCCTGTATGTCGCTTTCTTCAAACTGATGGAGCGATCTTCAGATTTGGTTAATATAAACGCGCTTATTTGATAGGCTTATCACCTAATACGATATAAGATTTTTCTCATATTTTTTGAGTTATCTGTAACGCAATCCTGGCTAAGTGACTATTCAAGAGAAAAATCGAAATCTGTTCAACCCCACTCACTCGGTGGACCCAGCACACACGACCAATGCTGCGAAGATATTTCTGATCAAATTCAAGTTGACTAAGAATGTCTAATTTTATAGGTCACATTTCGCAGTCACACAGTAAAACAATGAATTGTTGCTCATTATTCTCGTCCTGTCAGTGAAGAAAAGCCAAACGATCTATTTCATACATTGTCTAGATTTCACTCGACACCAACCCACGAGGATTAATGAATATTTCAAGATAGGTGAGAAAGGTCTGTAAAGAAACCCGAAAATTACGAATCAACTTTATGAATAAAACTTTTTTAGGTAGACTTATTCTAGTTAAAAGGGTCGAATTTTTAACTAGGCCTTTTTACATATTTCATCTCTCCGTTATTGGTGACATACTATAATAATCAGAGTAAAATTACGTTAAGCATGATGTATTGTGATTCTATCCAATCATAGCATCTGTCGATGAGATCAGACGCCTTTGACTTCAGTTGTGCAAAACCTGTTTGCTGCTTGTTCAACAACCTAAAACTGTTACAGTTTGATGATTAAAGATTTCATTTTAAAGTAAATCATAGCACTACAAATGTAGTTACCGTGTCCACTCATGTCTTCCGATGGATTATGGACATCCGGCTACTAACCTCTTTTTTACATACAAATATTTACATCTCAATAATGCGAGATGTGTCATTGATGACAACCAATAGCAAACACACTTTAAGTTGGTGGATTACAGCTTGAAACGATGATCAAATGATTCTCAGTTAACAGTCAGTCGGCACATATAATCTGATTGCTCTTGCACTAAGATAATGTAAATCACAATAAAAATATCTGAAATCCTTTAATTTCTCTCACATTTACGTCAGCTAACAAAAGTTGAATAGTTTTATGTGTGTTCTTCGTCACTGAGTCGCAAATGTAACAATCATTCTTTGTGCTATGCATCTACGCTGTATCGCTTGTGTTTGATTTCAGAGTAGAAACTGTTCAGTCCTTTTAGCTTGTTCTGAAAATGTTTCCTTTGATTTATTCATGTCTGTGCGCATATTTATGTACTACATTTCAACCTAAGTCATTGGTTTGTTTCTGCATTTTGCTAGCGATCACTTTCTAGGTCAAACTAACATCTATCGATTTTATCTGTTAGAACAGACAAAGTTACTATGAATTTTCGCATTAGATGTAAGGAAAAGCTGTATGTCATTGGCGTCGTCACAACTTTCCATTTAGTCCCAAATGACCTTGAGAGTTTTTCTACACCTTAGCGACCAATGAGCACATAGATTTGTTAAAATGAGAACAGTATTTTCAGAAATGCTGGAAGTCAGGTGTGCAAACAATTTTGTCCAAGGTTGGTATTTCTATCTGCAAATCAAATTATATTCAGCATTAACTGTGAATAGCTTCTAAGCGATTTTACATGCCTTACAAGTTGTGAATGCTTTTGCTCTTACGGATGAACCAACCAACCATTATACATGTTCAAATGCTATTAGTTTGTTGTGAAACATTAGTAGCGTTTTTCTGAAGATTAACTATAAAGAGACAAAAAAGAAACCAGTTTATATTCGTTTATCAGTATAGGAACACAAAACGGCTGTGCCGTCGTAATATGGCACTCATCGCCACAACACGGAATTTAACCCAGGTCCTTCGGTTTTGCGCGCGAACGCCTCCTAACCACTGAACCGTGATCCAACGTTGTTACTGTCTAACTGATTTACACTATATAAGAACAATTAGGCATCTGACCTGCCTATTCATTAACATAATTTCCATTTCAGACCTATGACGACACAATGGATCTTACCAAAGCTTGGTAAGCACTCTACAAAGCGTCTTCAAAATCATACACTAAGTGACTGATTGCCGATACTATCTTCTAACCCATTATCTTATTGACCATATCTTCAAATTCATTCGTTCGACATTATTAATCGGTTTTATTTTTTGTATGTTTTCATAATACCCCAAGGTGTGCTTTGTTTTATTTACGTTCCATAAGAAATCATGATTTAATGATTAGTAGACTTCTGTATAACACTTTTTATTCATCTTTTATATGACAACTTAAGTGACTTCTAGTGAGCTGTTTAACTTAAAGGAAGGAATGAAGCGACCATTAAAAGTTACATTAGTATTGTTAAAAAATGGAGTATACTCACAGGGACAACTTTTGTCACTTCATCGAGGTATATACAATCGTATATAATCGTCCTTTTAACAGTTATTTTCTTAAGTTGTACATTTATCGGATATTCAATTGTGAATTCTTTATATTTGATCATACTGAATATAAAAATTATAAAAATCGTTCAGCAAAAGACCTTTCAATGTTCTATTATCTATGTCGCTTCATGAGAATCTCTTTCGAATCAAATTAACTTTACAATATAGTGTTCATAAAATTCGAATTACTAGTTTATTGTTGATAAATTTGCTATAGAATTTGTGTTTCGCATGTTCAATCATGAAAATCACCTGTCATCGCTGATTTGTGTATCGAACTTAGAATATATAACTATTCAGTTCTCTGGTTTTCCGGTCTCCATCTGAATGTAAACGCTTTATTTATATAAGGCAGATTTTTTAAAGTACCGTACATCTCTCTGTGTTAACTTTCATTTTTTTAACAGGTCACAGATGATTGCACTTTTTTTTGCTCTAATTGATTTCACTTATTTAATTATGATGTTGTTATTTACCTTTCTTTGTAATTGCATTTCATTTAGTCTATCGTTGATATTTGTCATGGTCAGTCAGTAACATTTGAAGTGTATGATAAAGATCAAGGGAATAAGGATGATTATTTGGGTTGGTAAGTATTTCCTTTAATTTTTAAAAAAAATTACCTGTTTACATGTGTAAAATAATTCTAATTTCTTCATATATCACCTACCTAAAATAATTTATTTAAACTCTAAAGCTTGACTTATGACTAATAAAACTGCCATCTTACAGTCTACAGATTATCAATTTTATCTACACTAGCATAGACTCAAGAGTTGTTGATATAAATTCTGGCCTACGGCTTTCTCAGCTTGTATCATCCATCATATAAACACTAACTATTACTATGAAAATAAAATCACTGTGATTGTTAATTGCTTGACTTAAATTTAAGTTAGGACATCATTTTGAATACGAGATAAAATAAAGTATTCTAGTCAAAAAATAAATTGTTAATAACCAAATGAACAATTATCTTCATCGCTTGTCGTTTCTTTACTGAATTCTACTGGATGACCTTGACTTCTATCTCTTAATAAGCGCATATACAGTATAAAACAGAAGAACAAAGAAATTAAAATGTGAATTAACTTTTTTGAAACATGAATACTCAATCCTTCTTCTATATGTCGATATTTTATCGACTGAATGGAAAATGTAGTTTTTTTCTGTTCGCTTTCTTCAGTATCTTATGCTTGCAGTATAAAAATACTCTATTCATCTAGTCTTTTTTCTATTGCTATTGTAAGACAATTTATGATCCATTTATGCAGTTCGTTTCAAAGAAGATACAGAATTTTAATTTTCCTTACTTATGAACCAATTGTTTATTAATTAATCTACTTGGTGTTAAACTAATAAGCCTCAGACTTCCATAGACTTCGGTTTAGTTAGGTGAATAACATCTCTAGTTGTTACCTAGAAGGCATGATTAAGATTCAACTGCGTAAAGATATGCCTGCTTGACCGTGTCATACAAATATGTAATTTGATTTTTAGGAAATCGTAAGATATTTTCATTGAGTGTGACTAAAATGAGGAAGCACTCTACTGGCATCGTGGGGATTTTAAGCTGATCATGAATGTCATAATATTGTGGTAACCGATGATTCTTTTACATTGATCATTTGAACCTTCCTAATTGTTATGAACTCTAACCGATCAGTCACTTTTGACATGTGCTTCGATAGTCCCATTAAATCACACTTTACGCAGAGCTGAATAGTGTCTAACATGTGCTGACGATTTCCATTTAGGACAAAATGCACGTCCTGGATTCCACTGCTAGCCACTATCCAACTTTGCTTGAAATGCTGGTAACTTGTAGTGCTTCCAAAATAAATTTGCGAAAAATAATTTTTCTAATCAAGTATGATTTGCATTTACCCAGTGTGCATCAATTTAGCTCTATAGGCGAACATACAGCGGGGAGAAATACTCCGTTTGCGACAGTTCTCTTGCTAAATGTTTCATTATTCCGTATTTTTGTGTTGTAAACGTAAAACAACCTCGTCTATATAGTTACATATAATCCTCAAAGTCATAATTTGTAGACTTATTTCAATTTAGTATAAAATTCTTCAGTGACTCTTCTAGAATGTATAATCTAAGAACTGCATATCTCATCTGTTGTTTAGCTGCTTAAATAAAATTCGATACTCCGGTTTCTTTATCCCTCCAAGGTTATGCACAGTTCAGTAGCAACATCTGTGGCTATGAACTAGGGTGACTCGAACCGAATCCTCCAGTAGGCGTCAGCATCCTCAAGACTGCAAGTACACGTACTTTCACGTACTAAACACTACGAAACTTAGGTCCAGGTTATCCTGCCGACTACCTCTGACCACCTAGAATCTCAGCAGTCTACGTGGTGTCTAGTCACTTAAACTAATAGCCACATTGCAGCTTGGTGGACAGAATTCAGTCAACAGTAAAAAGACTAGATAAACATGGCGTTGATCACTACTTTGATCTATCAACGCAATAGATTTCGCTATATATTATTAGATCGATGAAACTGTTATGTTTGCTGCTTTAAATCCCTTGTGCAAACTTTTCATTGTATTTTAATATCTGTTTCTTTTCTGTCAAAATAATATGCGTTTTAAAATCACTTTCCTAGCTTATTGTATTAAAGTTGCTACTGGCTATAAGCTATACATTTCCTTTCCCTCTTTTTTAATAATGAAATTGCGAATAGATTCAACTGTTGATTTATGTAGCGCTTTCACTTATACTTTTTTGGTTCAAATACATACACTATCAGGTACAAAAGAGTAGTTGTTTAGTCGTCCTTTCGTTGTTGTATGTACATCTCTGCCGCTAGTCACCTGACTAGTACTGCATGTAATCATTCAAGCCCATCAGATTGTAGTCTAAAACTTTATATAATGGAAATATATTTCAGTTCAACCTGTCTTATCCTTCAAGTTTAATATTTGATATTGTTGTATGAGACACTATGGCAACAGTCATTTACATCTAGTTATATTTAAATCTGTACTATTTTTATTGCTACCTTTTGTCTATTAAATTTATCATTTCACTGTAGTACTTCGATACCAGTTGAATCAGTTCTCAGTGAAGGTGAAATAGACACGGTAAGTGTATGAACTGACATATGAAGCCGGTTTTTATCATAAATAGGAAAAGTTTATATCTGCTCTCAACATCTCTAACTCACTAATAACGTTTTTGTTAGGATTGCGCTAGATCACAAATTGATTGGCTTTGAAAGCACTTACTTTCAAAGTCATATTTATGAAAAATATTGGGCTATATGTGTAACCTGATCTTAATTGTTTTTAGCAACGGTTGCTTCAGAGTCACAAAATGCTTCTAACTGAAAGCATTTTGTGTTTTCACATGTTCACAAAAACCATTTCTCTTATAATTTTTCTTCATCATACATGAAGTCACCAAATGAACTATATTCATTTATGGATACTATACACATTCCTGAAATTGACTGAATTATTCACTTTGATGATTGATTGTCGCAAAGCTGGAACATTTACTTCTCACTCCCATACTCAGATGGTGTATACAAAATAACTACGAACCGGATGCACCGTCATAACCTCCTAAAACTCATCAAGAAAGACGTATGTATATCCTACATCATCACCAAGTATCAAACACTTTCAAACAAAATTCGTAAAAGTACACATGAAATTTGTTTAATTGTGTCCATTTATGTACTTCAAAAGTTCACGGCCTCTACATTTCACGTAAACAGTGACATATTTTATTATTCTGTCGATTAATTGTTAAGTGAAAATTGTGCCAAATAGATTAATTTATTGAATGATTAAAATAGGAATTACAGTGTTTAATGTGATCATTCAGCATAATGCCATAAATGTATGAATTATTGTCATCGTACTGTGTGTTTATGACTAGAAAACTAATCCAGCACATAAGATTATATATTGAAATACTTGGTCAAAAGATAAGTCATAGTATTGTTCCTCGGCAGTTTATATTTTCTAAACATTTTCTCCTTAATATAACATAAAACATGAAACAGGGAAGTACCAGCCTAATCAATCACACTACTCCAAACCATTCACCCATTTAAAGAGTTCATTTACCACATTGAATTATGATAGCTTCATAGTAGATGTGTACCATAGTTCCTCAATATATACCTAACTCACTTTCAAAGATAAATCTTCCAACACCCCAACTTTCTGTAGTACTTTTCATTTCTCTACTTTGTAACGCCTCATTCGACGACTTTGCTTATTATGAATTTTGCAATAAGATAATTTAATAATTAATAATAATCATTGAAATGATAGACTGTCAGCATAATTATTTTCGCCTAATGCAAAAGTTTACTATACAGACTAATATATCAAACTGAGTTATGCTTAACTTCTCATCAGTATTAACAAACTATTTGACTTGTTTCTTTATTTAAAACTTGGCGGAATTCTAACATAGTTAATCATCGGATGACTACCTGACTGACTGTTTATTGCCCTACAGTAACAAGTTACTAATCATTATCAAGCCTGACAAAAAACGGCTGTACAATTTTAGACATCTAGTTAAATAGTTGGAGGTTCAAACTCCGACCTACCTATATATATATATATATATATATATATATATATATCGCTGTTGAAACGACTCATATATTCCTGGAAAAATTGTACGCTTTAGTATAGTTGAAATAACTGATTCGACTATCATAATTAATGTATACTTTGTGCGTAAAAATTCTTTGTTTATAATTTAATCAGTTAATTCAATCGTTTCGAGAGCGTTTGTTAACATATACATTTTCTATCCAAGGTAACTATAAAATGTTTATCTGTTTTTTAAAATATTTTTACAATCGTTTAGTGGTCCTCGTTAGAAGGTGTAAAAACTGGTTCGTTACATTTGCAGTTAACATGGTTTCGATTGTCAAATCATGAAGTGGATTTTGTACAGGTTGGAAAAAAATGTTCATCTTTTGTCACACTTTCCTCCTATTGATAGATATTATTTCGTTTATAATGACTAGGATTGTATTGACATTTTTATAGCATTTTTTCCAATTGACCAAATGAGAATCGATGATAGATGAAATCTAACTTCAGTTACCTTCATTCACAGTGTTAATAGACATTTAAGTGTTAATCAGCCATTGAAAAATAACCTACATCTTTTGTGTTTTCTGGTATTTCGGTTGAAATTACGTTTAATATTATTTATTTGTGTTAAGGCTCCTCTAAAGATGTTCATCATTTCCCCGAAATTTTTGGGGCACTCCCTCAGTGTTCTCTGTAGATTATCTCATCGCGTTCAATATTCGCACTGCTAGTGATATAAGAATAGACTTTCAAGTGTTCCTCATGATTTCAGTGAATATTACGCTCCCAGATCTAGTATAAGCAATACTGATTCGGGATTATTTAGGAAAACGCATGTACTTCTTAGTTCGAAACTGTTTCCGAGTTGGAAGATGTCTATACCTTTTCTAGAACAAATTTACCAAAACTAGAACTCATGTATCATAGTGAGTTGTTTGTTCTCTTCAAACCGACATTAGGTAATTAATCTCTCTATATTACTTGTATGTTCAGTTTTTTCCAAATATCTGACTAAAACTAATACTTGCGATTGACCAGAACCATGAATTGCTATTGCGTTGTTTAATTCATTCGTATTACTTACTTAACTGTACAAACTTTGAGTTCGTAATCAAACTATTAGTGGTCAAATTCTCTTACAAAATAATATGTCTGTGTTATTTCCTGTTAATAATTTAGTTTTATGCACTTATGTTATCATAACACACCTCAAGCTATTTAAAACCACTTTCTTTGTACACGCTAGGCCTGAATTTCGGCATAATACACTTCTTAAATCTAATTTTTATTATATTATTTCAACTAGCTAACATAGTTAACTTTAAAATTAACCCATAATTCTTTTCTCATATACAGTGAATATGTTTTATCTTCTACTAGGCGTTCAATGAACTTTTCTTATAGTACTTTTTTATTATTACAGTTTGTAGATATACTTTAACTGGCGTTAATCTTCTCGAACTATCTGTTGCTCTCCTCGTTCGTATTGTAGACTGTCTCTTGCATGTTCCAATCAGTTCATTTGGTTTTTTTCGCATTTACCTCTTGAAAGCGATTTATTATTTCAACTAAATTCATTTACTAATTCATGTTTCCTACCATCCGAGCTTGATTGTTAATGTTGGGATTATAGTTTGAAAAACCTTTTCTCTAGATTGTTTCAAGGGAATGTGGACTGTGTTTAAGAACAACATTTTAATCTGTCTCGTAATTGTGTTAGAAAAATAACCCGTAGTTATATGTGTGCATATCATCCTACCGCTATTACGTATTTGTACTGTTCATAACACATCTTCAACCTGAACTTCTCAAGTTAAAGCTGGTTTTTAGCTTTACTGCATTCCTATATTTATCATTACAATAGGTTTGTCTGATTACTAGGCCAACATAGAGTTTCCAAATGGTCACAACTTGATATTTTGGACAAAGTACTCCTTACGCAGTTGAACAGTGAATATAGACAATTTCCCATCCATCTTAGGAGATAAAACATTATTTTCAATCTTAGACAGCTGCGCAGCTTGTCTAAATGACGTACTAATTAGGCAAATTTATTCCTATTTCAGTGGATCAATACATTAATACAAAAAGTTAATTTAGACCGAAAATCAAATATTTTAAGCAACGTTTCTTTAGAATGATCATCACTCTCATAAACCTTTGAATAACTTTTAAGAAGATAAAAGTCGAATTGATGAATAACTCAAGTTCTAATAGGCTTATTATCTATTTCATTCAATTTAACATTCGAATATTTTTCACAAAATACGGTCAAGTGCACAATTATATGGCAAGAGAAAATAATTAGTAATGGTTAAGAATGAACTAAATGTGATTGGTTAAATGAAGTGAATCGTTTCTTTAGAAGCAGTAGATTGTGTTAATGAATAATAGTCTTGTTTGAACATGTATGAATTGATTGTTTTGTGTAGTTTATGTAGATTACTGATGTAAAATATCTAAGTTTTTAATTACTCAGAATCGTAGTAGTGTCTTTATTTTACCAATTAACTTCGTGACTTTTATCTCCATTGTTTGAACATATTTGTTTTCAAGAAATGCTAACGCTCTTAATGAATAAAGAGGGTTTACCTTTTAACTAGACTTGCAGATCGGGATTTCGAGTATATGATACATTTAAACCAGAGAAAACGAATACCATACCACAATCACCATTTATCATGGGACCGCATCTCTTTTAATCCACTGGTTCGTAAATCGGAGATTCCAGAGATGTCCTTTTAAAAACCCACCCGCTTGTATTAAGACCCCTGAAGAGACCACACCCCTCATACCATCTAAAACGCATGTTAAAGTATACCATTTTACCAAACATATTTATGCATTAAAAATAAATAAAACCGTTATGGTACTGGTTCAAGTTGTCTTATTAGCTCAAAAAAATATCCTTTAACAAAAAATTAACATGATAATGTAGAACAGCTCCTATATCATATGATACTTTCAATGATACAGACACTAATTTGCCGCGGTTTATTATTTTGCTTTATATAAAATTATACATGAAATTTATGTTATTTTAGTTATTTCGATATAAACTCAACAAGTAGATGTTGTAGGTATCTTATATGGATATTTATAAAAATTTATGCATAACATTCTGAGTTTATAATTTGTCTCAGGTTTGAAAATTGCATCTGTCTTAAGAGTTTAGTTTTTAATCAGTCAATAAAAAAACTATCTCCTCAAACTTGTATTTCGTTTGTATCGCTGCTTATTTAGTAGGTATACTTGTCGCCTTAAGCAGTTCTATGACAAAACTAGTGATAAGTTGGTTATAAAGATTTATTATTTAATAAACTGAACTCTTGTGTGTAATTTTCTTTGGCTATAGTGCCTCGTATGTTCCCACCCAGTCATTGCTCTTAATAATAGTTATCAAATTACTTCACTAATACTCCCCCTTTTAAGTAAACAGTTAAAGAACAAAGTTACTTGCATGAAATTTAATTATTCATACTTAAATATGACAAATAATGTTTGTCTGTACATTAACTTGACTAATTTTTGTCAGTAATCTCCAAAGTTTGAACCAGAGTTTTGTGTGGTCACAATTCATTGTACTTTACTTTTTTACAACCTGCAAAACTTTTCATCATTGCACAAATTTTCGCATGTTAACTGTGTAACTAAAATAAAACAAGGTAAGTTGTAACCTATTTTGTATTTTTATTAATACAGACTAATATTGAGAGTCAAATGATACCATTGGAGAGATATCTTTTTCCTAATAATGGTTTCTCCTTTACATATGAAATCGAATGATTGTTATATGATTTGCTATAAGTTGGATAAGAGGTTCGCCACCTTTTTCTTGAGCAGCCTTGTACTCCACATAAAATTCAGAGGTTGACTAACCAAAAAGATTGAATTTCTTCGTACATTTTTTCATCAATAAAGATTATTTATCGAAGCATATAACTAAGCAGTGGTATGTAGTAATGAAATCAGTGCTCACACTCCTATTAGACATACTGGATATGGCTAAATGCATAAGGGTCATTCGAGTAGTTTAAGAATTGTTTATCTTATATATAATACATCTAGGAGAGTATCAACAGTTTACGGGAATAATTTTTGAAGAGTACCTGATTTTTTTTGTCTTAATGCCTTCTCTATTGCACCAATCAAAAGTTGAGTTTCAGTTGATCAGTAAAGTTCTCACTTTCGGAGTCGTAAAAGTAACGATTTGGGGCTGTCAGTATCCATGTATACGGCCTATCATCTTTGTCATCTCCTATATCTATTCCAAATATTACAGACGTTAATATTTTCCTAACTTAGTACGGGTTATGGCCAGCGGTGGAATCCAAAAAACGCGCTTGAATTGGATTATCCATTTCAAATTAAATTAAATCTCATACCTGTTGCACAAGTGATTAGTTATCTGGACTCAGTAGCGAAGTGGATGATGCGACTGTGTTTGAAACAAGTGGTACTGAATTGGAGTCTCAGAGGAAACATTAACTCTGGAATTCAGGTATATTCACCTGATGAATTCCGAATAAAATGAGACTAGCATTTTGGATTCCACTGCTAGTCACATCTCACCTATTCTTTACACACTTATGTTATAATGGCTATATGGAAGCAGTCCATACATCATGCATATATACACAAAGACTGACCGAATTTCATTAGAAATAACAACAACAGTATAATCCAGTCCATTCCAATTCGAATTAATCTCAGAAATGTTTGTTGGTGTAAGATTACCGGTAGAAGAAGTATTCCTAAATCAGTTAAACATTTATGGTATTGAAAAGTTCTGTCATCCTAATGGTTTGTCAATAAAATATATATCCAAAATAAAGGGTCACTCACAACGACGAACAACTTCGAACGTTATGTGAAGGTTGGTCCCACGATATGAATATGTATAGTACTCTCTTCATAAGATGAATGTTAGATAACTTGGAGAAATATTACAAGTATATACATAGCAATTACGCCTAAATATATTCATATACTTTTAGTATAATTATTATTATTCATTGATTTTCTTCGAATTCCTATTTCCTAATCATGTTTACTTGTCAACTTTGCATACAATTCTGTTTAAACGGTGAGTTTATGTAAATTTCGGCATCACAGCTTTCGTTTTGATTGAAAATTTATTGTGCATGTGTTTTGTGATTAATCATCGTTTGATTTGTTTGATTGATTGATTGATTGAGCGTTCATCATCTAGCTTTGTTTGCATTATGCCCTTCTGTCATCTGTACTCGGCAAAAAATAATGATTCAGTTTATTTTTCTATGTATTCATTCAATTTTTCAATAGAATAATCCTTGATTTGTTTACTTTCTACTTGTTGTTATTATTATCTTTCTTGTCATTGAAAATTCAATCATTCATTTTTGGGTACCTTTTTTTCCATTGAAATCCTGTGTAAATTTTTTTGCGATATATTGTTGTTTTCCTTTTCAACATTTTTCGTTTGATCAATTTCTATAGGTATATTTTGGCAGGACAAAAATTATTACACATTTTCTGTTTCTATAGTTTCATTCTTTAGTTTTACTAAATAATCAATTTTTAAGATTAGTCACACATTACATGGTTCATCTTACTGACCTTTGTGACAACCTAAATTATATCTACTTTTTTGTTAATTATGATGTGTTGTTTAAAAACTCGATCTAGTCAATATCACAAACTTCGGTCTCCTTTTTTTCGCTTCATGATTTGCAACTGGCTTTTAACACTGTGATAGAACCACTATCTAATAATTGATCTGCGTGTAAAGTTGCCAAAACTAATGCTTAAAAGTGTGTCTAACCAGAGTTCGATTGTACTGGAGTTAACATAGATAAACATCTAATTGCATTTTGTTTGTACATTTGGTCAACAAATTTCTCTTCTTAATAGGTGTTTATTATATTTCCGTACCAATTCTTTATTTACTCATTTTCAATGGAAATACTGTATAAGAATTTGTAATGAATGAAGACCGAAGACAAGACGGGATAAGCTATTATTCGAAGACACAATGTACTTGCTAAAGAGTGTACGCCTTACTATAAAACATCCATTAGCAAAACAAGCCATCGTAAAATGACCTAGTTGTTAAAGTATTCAAATGTTAGCTGTCAACTCAATAGTTCCCATCCTATCTCACTTAAATCGTTTTATACAGGTGGGTCTTATCGGTAGAACGTATACAAAACTTCTCCCTCCAAGTTGAGTAAACACACTTGTACCTGGTTATGGAATGATACTAAAGGCGATGGGAATATTTAAGTACTTGTAATTCATTAAAATCAACTTGGCTTCTTTGTAGGAACGGTTATTTTCGAATAATTTTTGTTTATTTTATGTCTTCAGACAGTTACACTGTAAATAAATATCTTCATTATGTATGATTTTCAAATGCTTACGTTTTGATTGCAACACAATTGATCATTTTACTGTTCCGTACAGAGCTGTTTGTGTTCTACAAAGAACAACACTACAAACTAGGCACTCTCATGTTGATTGACTATTCTCTACATGATTCATTCAACTGGAGTTTTTTTATTTTAAATCTTATCACAGAAATGTTGTTGTGTTTGCTTGTTATTGTTTCTGTGTTCATAATCCGTTCATCTTTCGTTTTTTGTTTGTCTGTTTCTTTGTGTGCATAGTCGTTTGTTAGTCGATTACTGTTGAATTGATTTCGTTTTAGCATAGTATAATTTTTTGAAGAGAAGCCATGTTGTTACTGCCTCTCTTTTCTCTCTAACATCTTTTATTCTTTTATTTCCCTACTTTTTCCTTCATGCTACATCCTGTAATTCCAAATTACTTGGTAACTGTTAGTCAATGGAACAGGCTTTACATTATCGTAAAGCATCTGGACGAAGTATGAGTTCAGGATTCTTATACGTTGTTATTGAACAAGCGAATAATTTACCAGTAAGTTCTTTTGTAAACTGTATAATATATATGAATTATTTGTTTACGTACTGTATACAGGTGTTGATATGCTAATTTCAAAGAGAACTTTAACCTGTTGATCGTCATCCCTAGATTCTCATACCCCTGAAATGAAGTCTACTCTTTTTATTCTCGCCTGCTGAGTAGCTCCTTAGCACTAACCACTGTGCGGGCCACCGAGAAGTAACATCCGCGCTTACATACCTGACAGCATACGAGATCAACTTGTCCACAATCGGATCCTTCCCCCACCACTTATTATCTCTCTTGTCTCGAGGACTAACCCTTCATGCATACATTTGTCACCGCATCTCTAATGCTAACGATTTGAGTACACGACATGTTATTCCTGGTCTCCTGAAACCATGCTCTAAGCTACATGTTAGAGCTTGTAATACTCTTACCTTGTGCCAGGTCGGACATCAGGATTCCTTAGCTGGAGCTCTAGAATCTCACACGATCGATATATGCTTCGTCTCCGAAATGCACACGCACAATCCAAATACAGTCATTCTCCTGACCTCAAATTTTCAATAAAAAGAATGTCGCGATTTATGTCTCGCATATCTGGAAGCCGCACTACTGCATCCCACGATCTCGCTGGTGCAGGTATAGCATTAAGCCCTCTCTCAGACTGAACCCAAGTAGATAATCGCTTATGCGCTGTCCGACTAAACTGAACTCTCAAAACATGGGAAGATAGGAACACTCGCCGTTGTCTTTGCCTATGCTCCCCCTGATTGCAGCTCGGATGAAGTAAAACATAAATTTTACGAAAACTTTTTCAACCCTCACCAAAATATTAGACGCCCTGGTATAGTAATAGTGACTGATGACTTCAATGCTCAAGTAGGTAGAGTAAGCGATACTGAAAGACACTCTTGTGTGAACCTTGGCTCATCGAATAGATAATGGCAACCGTCTGATGCAGCTATGCTCAGATAACCGCCTATTTCTAACAAATACCAAATTTAGGCATAAGGAAAGACATTTGACACGGATACCCACAAAATCGACTTAACGCTGGACCCAACTCGATCACATCTCTATCACACACCAATTGATATAAGAAATACGCAGCAAGGGAACGCCTTAGATTTCTACCTACCGATAGTAAAGCCAAGAGTATATTTCAAGAGCAACTAGAACAACAGTTAGGCAGTCGTGTAAATGATGTTCACCCTGAAGCAACTTCGACAGATATCCAAAAAGCTGTGCAAACAACGGTGATTTCAGTGGCATATACTGAACTAATAGATGCTCGAAAACTCATCCCCTTTGGTTGTAAACACTATGAGGAACAAAGGCAGGTTGACAAAAAACCTGCTCAATGATTGCATTCAATGGTGTATAAAAAAAGCGAAAGAGATGGAAAAGACAGTGGCATCAGTTAACAGTAGGCAGTTGTTCAGACTTATCAAGGAAACGGGTATTATGGATTCGACTGTTAGAGAGACTCGGAAAAGGATAGGACCGTTATTCATTCTCAGCTCAGGATATTAGATCACTGGACAAACACTGGGAAGCAATTCAACTGACCTTCAGCCACGTGGTTTTTTGCCTGACCCTAGCTGTTATCTCGGTGTGGGGGTCAGGCTTGCCCGTCGCGGCAACCCGACCGAGCTATATTGGCTGAAACAAATGTGTCTTTATGTCCTACCATGTCAAGCAGATTGATTGGAGAACGGTAAGACTAAAAGCGATAACTCAACTTCTGAAGGTGAACTCTTACTGCTGACTGTAGAGGGTTGTGACACCAGTAAGTTGTTTCCCTCGGATAACCGGCGTCTGTAGCGTTGCTGCCTTCTCACAAGGAAAGAAGAAGTTAGGAGAGATCGACCCTATCATCGTCAAATATCACCTTATCTTACTGATTTCGGTTTCCAATGGTAAGGCCTTTTAAAGAGCGGAGCTATGACGTTAAAAACATTCTATAAAAAGACCTAGTCTGACCGGGCTCAAACAGTTGTCCTTTGGGCCTTGCGATCACACTCCCAGGACCGTATATGTACATACGTACCAAGTTCTACGTCGTAGTTGACTGACTGACTAGTTTCTATCCAAAGTAACGTCGGGTAATTGATAATGTTATTATGTAACTTATTTGTAGTTATATCTGATATATAATCAGTAGCTTTTGATAGTCTCTATATGTTAAACAAGTTTCTGCAATTCATCTCTTTTTTATAGCATCTTAACTATTTGTCTTTTGTTCGAGCTCTCCCTTTTTTTCTCTTTCTTTCATCATCAGTCGGTAAAACAACTACAAGAACCTTCACCATTTTGTAATATCCATCTAGGGCGTGATTATCAAACAAATGAAGTTAAGGAAAAAACACAAAATCCCGTTTGGAATTCTGTGCATCATTTTCTTGTTAGTGATCCAAATGTTGATATACTTCAGCTTATTGTAAGTCTAACCTTTCTATATTTTTCTTCCATAAAGGCTTTTTTGGCTGCCTACTTTTTATTGAATTCGTAACAGTGTATTAACATGATAGTCCGACGACTAAGAGTGGCCCATCTGGAGGTCAGGTTGTTCAATAAAAGTCAATTATAATTCGGTTTGTACGTACAAGATGACAGCCGAAACACTATTGTGTAATACTGATTTGTTACTCGTATCATTTTTACATGCTTCATTGTATTCCTATCTCGTTTATTACATTATTTAGGTACGTGACAGTCGAACGGAGACGAAATTGGGATCCTGTAACATCCCTCTACAAACTTTATTAACACAGAAGAATATGTCTGTCACGCGACCGTTCACCTTGCAAGATACAGGTCGGGAAACATCGACCGTCTACATGCATTTGCAATTGTTGGTGAGCTTTATAAAATTTTAAAATAGCCAATAAAAAATTTCGGCTAATATTGTTTTTGATATACTTCATACTTTTAATATGAATATAGTTAATAGGAGGAGAGAAATTTTTTTATTTAACGCTTGAGTTTTACTTGGATTGAAATTATTGACGTTCCTACATGTGATTGTTAACTGAGTTTCAGATTCTTTTTATCACATTGCATGCATAATATCATATGTTCACGTTTGATTACTCTCTTAAGATTAACAAATCCGTATTCTATGTGACTAATAGTTTGGTCTTCTTATAAATTCACTCATCATCTACCTGCATTATCAAAGTAGTCGTAAATTGTTTGAATACTACATTATTAATAGATACATTTTTTTCAGATTTGTTTGCAAACATTTTTGTTTGAACAATGCAAAATCATTATACGTTGTAGTCTATTAATTTCAAACCAATAGAGGGAATACGAATTTATGCAGTCGATTAAACGTCAACCAATTGATGATAATAATTATCCAATCTGAACAGAACACTTACGAAAATGAGAAAATGATACTGAATACTAAAACTTACTTTATTGAGATAAAAATAAGAAGTATTCATTAATGGACTACTTTTACTAATCTCAAACTGTGTAACTTATGGTTGCTAATAATTATGTACAAGGGTTACATGGACCTTAACTATAATGCTTGTATCTTCCCATGCAAGTCAGTGATATCTCATACCGAATCCGTCTGTTGACCTAGAGTTTTAGCATAGGTTTCCGACTACACTTCAAGATGGTTTGTTGACTACTTAGATGATTACTGGGGCCTATAAAAATCATTTATTGTTAACTGAATAAGAACGGTTTGACGTTTATTCAATTCTGAGAAAAAACTATCCAAAATTTTCGTATTCAAATTTATGTTACTTACTAGCCTGCTTTTTCGTTCGACTTAAAATTTAATCGTAAACCCTTGTCCTACTCTCATTTCTTTATCGGAGTTCGGACAGTGACAGCGATCAGTGGTTGGAGACATTCGATGCTGTGGTTCAGAGTCGGTCACAGTGATCCAAGTACATTGACTCTTCATCCTTCTCTAGATCGTCCGCTCCAGTATTCCTTCATACATTGCTTTTTCGAATCAGATTCTTAATGCTTAGTCTTTTTCATTATCACTGCTACCACATTATTTCACCTCCTTTATTACTTGTTTTCATCAGGTCAATGTAGTGTGGTAACTTTTGGCTACTCACATTTGTGCTAAGTTCTTCATTAATTATGACTGATTCCTTTGTTAAATATATAACTCTCAATTATTTAGTAATTGTTTTTAGATTCGTTGTATTAACCGATCCGGTAATTACATTACAGTTGTAATTCAACTCCTAGCACAATTTTACGATTGCTTAATGAATAGTTTTCAACTTTGTGTATAATCTCTGTAAGACAATGAAATTTAAATTAAAACGGTTACCAAAGGTGAAATAAATATTTCTTATTATCACAGGCTTTACTCCCTGGTCGGCGTCAAAATGCAGGTGGTCAAAATAATTCCAGCATAAAGTCCAGTTCATCGTTGAATCAGAAATTAACTGATAATTCTATCCCAACTAAAAAACCTGCTGAATCGTCTATAGAAAATCCAGAAATGGTTGTAAGAAATCGTTTTTCTGAAGATAATGTAAGAACTATTGTACTTATCACTTGTATTATTTTCTAACTGTAATACATTTCGTCAATTTTTCATTTTGTTGGTTGTGTTTTTTTTAAATTTAATAATTTCATTATGGTTTTCGTCCAATCTTGATCTCTTTAGCACTTCCAAAAGGAATTGAATTTAGTAGGAAATTTTATTTTGTTGATAAGTCAAATGTTGTTGTGCAATATCTATTCATTATGTTTTGATTTTGTACATCCATGTGATTTTGGCTTTTAGAAAAACTTTCTTAAAGTTGTTTTCCTTCCAAAACGAAAAACAATTATTGAAGCTAACACTTTTTAATCACAACTTAACAACAGTAAATCTTCAGTTTCTGTTAGAATAATTTTGTTAACTATTAAATGACCATTATTATTAATTCTTTAAGACAACTGCGCGATACTGTTGTATCTGACTTAACCTCCTTTGTATCATGATCGTACAGTGACTTATTACTAAATGTTGCAGTTATGAAAAGCCAAAAAAAACTGGAAATCAATTTAGTGAAGTTATTTTTAGGAAACATTTTCAAAATGTATCCATGCATTTCATCGTCGGCAGTTTCATCTGTTTACCGTTTGTGATGCTTTCTGAATAAAAGAATATTTCTCAAAGCTGACTATATTATGCTGCCACAAAACTCCATACTAACGATCCCTAAGATTAAACTACTGTATATTAGTACTTTTCTTCAAATTGATTTTTCTTCTAGGATACAATTTCTTCTACAGAATCTTTATCAACAACAACAAGCTTCAATGATCAATCGATTCAACCAATTAAACAAATTATTCATAATAATATACAACAAATAAGCAATTCATCTTTGGGTCGTATTCGCTTGACTATTCAATTTCATCCTGCATCGAATTATCTAGAAGTGACAGTACATGAATGTCAGTAAGTATTCCACATTTATGTGGCTCTCTTTTTGAGACATCTTGATTTTTATGTAGCCGTAAAACTACATAACTTTGATATGTAATGTGTTAACAAACGAGTTAACCTGCACTTAGTAGCAGATTTATGCTAACGCTTTCTATATTGACATCTAATTATTATATTAATTAAATGGTGGCTTACGTCATTGTTACTTTAGTTATAACTGTAGTATAACTGTAAAAATGCGTCGTATGTTACACTAGATCTGTATTTTCGTATCTTTCGTTCCACTGCCTACCCAATGAGAGCACAGAAAAAGTAAGTAGAGTGAGAAAAGAGAAAACCTGACTCATCAGTGGTCAATATATCCAGGACTGTCTTAATTAAGGAACTTGTGTTAAGAAATAATCTTTGTAATCATCTATGTAAATATTCTACTTCAGTTACCGAATTGTGCTTACAAACTTTCCGAATGTACGGTACTGTCATGAGACATAAACTGAACGCTAAGAATGTCGAGACCTTGAGTTACGTAATTAAAATCACTATCAGAAGAAAAATATGTCCTTTCAGGGAATGAATGAGATTGCTCGAAATGTACAACACAAGCACACTACATAAGCCATCTTCAATTTGTAAGGTTTATTATTGATATTTTTATTTCTTATTTCATCCTTATTTATAAATATATAGACATTTAAGCGGTGTTGATAAAGATGGCCTATCTGATCCATATGTAAAACTTTATCTTATGGATTTACACGATAATTTGGTCAGTGATTCAAAAAAGACTAAAACTGTTAAAGATAATTTGGATCCGAAATATGAAGAGAAGTAAGTTCGTACATGTGTGTATATACATATTATATAAGAGTTTTGTTTTTTATTCTTAGTTTAATAACATTCTGTATAACACTGTAAAGAATCGAATAAAGGTAGATTTATAGATCTCGGTAATGATTATGTATGGTTTTTTATAATATTCCTTCATTAGTGTTACGTGCCTTCGAAATCAATTCTCGGTACTTCACAATCTGTGTGTCAACACTGTTGAGTTTTAGAAATATTCCGTATTGACCTGAATGCATTCATTTACTAGTATCGCATAACTTTGTCTCTTAAAATAAGGGTATCATTTTTTAAGTATCCTGCCTCAGATCCTAAGAAAATATATAAATATTTATATACTTTCTCTTTATAGATGGAATTTTGTCAGTAACTGTCACTAATAATATTACAGTGCAAATGCTTTACCGTCAAGCTACGTTTGTTGATGCAATAAAGACTCAATGTACAATCAATTTATTGATTTCTCAAACAGCCAAATAACTCCATTGATTAGAAAGCAATAGTTAACGTTATCTATAAATTGAGCTACTTTAGGAATGAACAAAAAAGTAATATATTTTTAGATCCTTATTGAACATATATGTCTTAAATGATGATAAGTAACAATGCTACAGTTGTAATTAACAGTCTATGCCTCTCTCGATTTCTCCTCATATATTACTCATTACATATAAATTTCGGGAAGTATCTCATACATCACAATTTTCATAGGTATATGTATGTATCCATGCTTACAAAAGCGTTCTTACTTGCCACATTAAAATACTTTCAGAGTAATTTATATATATATATATATATATATATATATATATATATATATATATAATATCATTCGAAATTTTCATGCATTCCCGAAACAAAATATTTTATTAGAAAAGTATATTTGATGATATTTTGAGATCTTGAAAATTCAAAAGTTTATCTTACTACAAAAGCAAGTGATAGTTTCACATTAATGCCATTACCATTGATTATCATACTTCACTATTTATTAAGTTCAATGTATGAAAACATATTTAGTAATGATCGCTCGATGTGTTAAATTCAATTACTGTTTATATAGTCATATATAGATAATGTTCACTCTGTACCATTTCTTTTACTTTCATGCTTCAGTTTTCAGTTTCCGATTGAGGTTGACCACCTTCCATTGACTGTTTTAAAACTCGATGTCAAAAATCATGTGGGACGTTTTACACGCAGTGGAAAGACCCACTTTATCGGGACTTTATCGATAAATCTTATTGATTCCGCAGATGGTAAAGCTGAAACTAAATGGTAAGCTTAATGCCATTTTCTTTTCTTCTTTCTTTTCCAATTAATAGACTTATATTGATGCTCGTATTGATATTGAAAACTAATTCGGTCATTATAAGAATCGAAGTAGTCCACTTCGCTTCTAAAATATTTGATAAGCATACAAGAGCTATATTAGTGCCTCCTGTCCTTGTAATTTCTAATCATATATAACGGATGTATTCATTAAAAACTGACTTCATAACTACATGAAGCAAGATTTTCCTTGGGAGATATTATATAAATCAAGATATATATATTCAAGTAAATAATGATAAGTAAGAGTTAACATTAATTTTTTTGCTTCCTAGTCTATAAAGTTGATTTGCAATCAATGAACTAATTGCCAACTAGGTTGGTGTACTTCAAAACATTTTCTAGATGTCTTTTGAAATAACTGATTGCTTATCTCAAGATAAAAAATATTATACGTTTTGAAATTAGTCATTTAAAACCCAAATTCCTGCAATTGATAAACCATAATGACGTTCAAATAGATGTTTGGTTTTCGATTGTGCTTATATAACCTATTCATTTTTACTTTTGGTGTGTAATGAATGCAGATGTTGCCAAACAATTCAAATCATACAACGAATAAAACTAAATCACTGACGACATTCAGTTGACCTGCTAGATTCATCATAACATCTCTCATACTTTTGCACGAAATCCAAACCACAGTGAAGGATAATATGTATCATGTTAGAACTTGTAATCTCAGCCTTCAGAGCCATATTTCGTAAATTTAGCCCAGCTCCGAACATCTAATCCCAGCTTTTTTTTAATTACTATGATGAATAGCTCAACATGTAAGGGTCGTGTAATCAGATCAAAACTATTTATTCACTGTGATTAGATTGTTCTTTATCCTTAATTTCGATTGGCTGATAAATCGTCAAGGTTGTCAGTATTGTTTGGTTTTACCAAATAATGTGCTTCATAAACCTTTTATTCCTACTTAATAGTTATCATAAGCATGACAGTAGTTAGCGTTGGATCAGTTTTATTTTCGTTTGGTTTAAGGTTGAACTTTTGTTTCTTTTTATTTAAGGTATGACTTGGCGTCACCCATTTTTCGTCCGTAACTTCGCGTAGTTTGGTTCGAAACACACATCTTTTGTCTGTCTGTTGTTTGATCTTTATTTATTGTACAAGCTAAATTCATGCGCCGTTTTTTAATACTCATTAGTTACATTTGTAAACTTTTGCCCTTATTTCCTTGCAACTAGTGTGATTCATTTTAATTTTTGCTTATCTGTGTATTTACCTTTACTAATAATCATGTATGCTTATATTTTCCTAAGTATATAATCGCTAAAGAACTTACTCTGCAGCCTTTGAAATGTGTTAAACTTTGTTCTGTGATTAACGACTTGATGTTTACTTATGCTTATTTACTTCATGGTGACATGTGTGTCACACTTCAAGCTTCCTTCAGATTCTTCACTTTTTGAGCTACATTATTTCCTCCTATTCACAATGATATAACCGTCATCATTACCTACCTTGAGATTTCCTACCCATAAAGTTAATATACTCCTTTTGAATAATCTTTCGTGCTAAAATTTATTTACACTTAAAAAATAGCATACGGTGGTGGTCATAAGTTAGACACATGCTTGTTATATTTCTCCGATAAAACAAACCAATGAGATCACTCTTGTTTCCCTCAAGTAACACCATATGGTGACCACATGCTTTAATCGGTACCACATTTGGGCTATGTGTTTGTGGGTAACATTTCAGCTCTAAAACTGCTCTGTTGACGTTTAGAATTTTTAGAATGGGCAACTACTTTTATGGATAATAACACCATATTTATATGAAAAATATATCCGTTCATAGAGAGATGGTATAAATCGAAGTTACCAAAATTTTGGTCGCTCAATTTACATCGTATTAAGTCAAAGCTACACAACCTAAACCTCAAGTTTCTAATGGGACGCGAAATGAGATCCACTGCATGCAAATACAAAACAATCAAATTGGAAGGAGATACGTGAGCGGAATTTGATTCCGTATAGCATACGACTACCAAGTCAACTATACTTGAACACAAAAATCCTAAAACATCGATAGGTGTCATTGTAGATACATTTATCTCAAATGTTAGTACTGTCTTGCAATTGTAGGTACACAACACCTTTGAGTTGTTCTCAAGATGGTTTTAAGATTATTAGTCGTTGTTCTGTACTTTTTACAGTGGACCTCTTGCAGTATACTGTGTTGGCACTACTATGTGATTCATACATTGATAATGATCGTCCATTTTATACTGAATCAATGTCTATATCTTGTCTCATCCACAAGTTCAAATAACTATCGAGCTCGACTAATTTACCGACCCCAAATGAATCAGAAGAGGTGGGCACAATACTGCGTAAATTGTTAAATATATAAAGTAATTAAGTGTGAGGGGTGTTCCTTTGTATCTTTTTCAACCACCATGTTTCGATTTGGTAGGGCGATTACCAAAATCAGTATATGTCACTAACTTGAGGTAACTGACAATGATGTTACAGTCTAAACCGTTGCGTGATCTTTCTTTGAATGATGTACGGCAAACTTGAACCATACTATTTGGAGCGATGTTGTTTCTCCAAATGAACTTCATGGTTCAGTGGAAACATCGTAGATCGATCGACGCCAACATCATTTATGTGACAATACTAACTTTTTGCAGAAATTACGGGCACTTCCACTTCGTAATTCAAAATAGATATACACTTCCGCATAAAGTGGCTCTCAAATTATATGATTTTAGTGAGGACCGGTCGGAAGTAAACCCACTTTAGACAATTCATTCTCACATCGAAATAAAGCCATGCCGAATTAGCCTCATTTATCGACCTCATTCTCGAAATCAACAGATTCCCCATCATTTTCTCTAGAAACGAAATTACAGATCTATATGGGAATACATTACTACATGCTTTGCAACATACTGCTAGGATTAACAGATTATTAAAATATACCTCGAACGTAAGTGCCTAGAATTACAAAAAGATAAGAAATGTAGTTACTGAGCGGCGAATATGATAGTCGCATGATAATCTCATTGTCAACAGAGTAGAAAATTTTGTTGACTTAATTACTCAATCGCTTAAGCCTGTTTGTCTCGAAGTTGGTCGTCTACGAAATCCTTAATTGTTGAAGACTTTGCCAGGTACTGAGAGAATAGTGATGACTCACACTTGCTGAGATCGCCTCTCTTTGGTATTGTGATGTGATATCCTTGTTTTAAGTCTGTTGGTACTTGTCCTACCTGTTTCACCTGTTGCGCTGTTCCTCAGTGATGACGATTACTTTGCCTTCCTTGCTTTAAACTGGTCGTTCAGGTTTACGATAGTTTCCAGCAGACTTCTTGGCTGTATCATACAACTGTCTCAAGTTTCCTTCTCTTGCAGCTTATTCCGCCGTCATTTCCAGATCCTCCACGTACTTACGTTTTTCCGTTCTCACGCTTCTCTTCACTTGCTTGTTTGCTTGTGCGTATACAGCTTGTGCCTTGTATGAGTGATGTTGATTGCGGCCTCCTTGTTCCTCCTTTCTTGAATGTTTTCAAGAGTTTCAACAGAGATCCAATCCCTGTGTTTGTTTTTAGTGTGGCCCAGAACATCCTGACTTGTTGAAGTGAATGCCTCCTTGATCCCTTTCCAATTGTTCCACATGGTAGCCTCCTTTCCATTCAGTAAATGGTTAAGAGCGTGAAACCTATTGTTGACGACTATCTTGAATTTGTTGAGCTTTTCACTATCCCGAGGAAAGACCGTATTAAACTTTGTGATGTCTGCCCCATTTTCCAGTACCTCTTGAGTTTCGGTTTCATTTTGGCAACCAGCTAGTGGTAATCTTAGGCTGTTTAAGCTCCTCTCTTCGTTATCACGTCCTCCAAGTTCCTTCTGAACTTTTTGTTGATGTAGATATGGTCGATTCGGTTCTGAATAGTGTAATCCGGTGAAACCCATGTTGCTACGTGTATATATTGCGTGGAAATATGGTGCTGCCTGTAACCATTATGTCGAAGGCACATAAATTTGTGAAACTCTCACCATCTTCTTTCCTTTCTGCCCATGTCATCTTAGGCATCTAGGTATCCCACAAGAACCGTCAAATCCTCTGACGCGCAAGTCGCGATGATCGATCGCAGAATTGATCTTTAACGTTTCGATTGTAGTTGTTGGTAGGTTCATAGCATTGGATGATTTTCATTGTAATGCCCTCTTTCTTTGTTTTGAATGATGCTTTGATGATCCTGTGTCCATGAAATTCCCGCCATATCAGTGCCTTTTGTGTTTGTCTGGACAGCATCAGTGCAACTCCTTGTGTTTTAGGTATTTTGTTCTTCATGGTCGGAGTATAACAGCAGCTCTCCTGAAGCTATTCTTAGCTTTCCAACCTGCGTGCAGTATATTTCAGTGAGTCCAAGTATTTCCAGGTTGTATCTTTTCATCTATGCAGCAATTCGGAATATATATCAATTCTACGGGAGGCTGCGATCGATAGTCGCGAGATGCGCGTCAGAGGGTTGACTAATTTGTGGGATACCTAGATGCCAAGAATGACATGGATAACACTGGATACGAAGACATCAGGGGACGACATGGACTGGGAGAAAGGAACGAAAATGGTGAGAGATTAGCAAATTTATATGTCTTCGACAAAATTGCTACAGGTCTTTTGTACAAATAAACAAGAGGTGTATAATACAACAATTATTGTCGAAATCAAGTACAATAATACATGTTTATATTTCAGCAATTATGTTTTCTTGGTAAAATATACCACCACATTATCCTCTCCACTTGGAAGGGCTTACACTTTCGATACGTAAGGGTGTCGTGCGGAGGGCTGACTGGTCGGCTAACGGGTGATTGTATAGCTGAATGGTTGACGAACAGGAAGCAAACGATGAAGCTCGAATTTTCAACGGGATGATCTTGCGTTGAACTGCAAAAATCGTAACGTGCCACATTTATTGCTCAGGTTAGCATGCCACACCAGCGTGGCTCGTAACCTGAAGATTGGGGTTCGTACCAGAAGTTCTAGCCTTGGATTTCGGATTAGCAAGTAGGGTACTGTCATCGACGTTTGCTGAATTGAGACAATCAATCCTGACTACCTCGACGCGGCTATGTCGAGCAACCTTGACGAAAAATCATGTGAAAAGGTCCGTCGTAAGGTTGTTGCAAAGGCTTACGTACTGAATCGACTCGTATGAAAACATGCGAACGGGTAGATAACTCTCGAGAGTTAGCAACCCGTGGATGTTTTACTCGAGTCGACACCGGAGGCAGCGCTTGCATAAATTCAGACAATCGTTGGACTGTTACGGGAGAAACGAAGACATTTTGCTGATTAAAACCTTCATGTATAAATATAATTAATTTCACTGTTTTTTGGGTATATTTGTTTTACTTAACTTATGAACTTGTTTGAATTATTATTTGCGGACATATTGGACTCCCGTTTCTCTTTGTTGTTCGTTGCAGTTTTTTGCTCCAAGAGATAATAAATTAGAAGAACGACATTGGTCGTCTATTTGTAATAAATTATTTTGGTGGAATTTGTGATTTGGAATAAACTTTGGTATCTACTTTGGAGTTTCGTTCTTGGTATAGAAATTTGGGACCTTGAATTACCAATAGACGACAACAGTGCTTCGTAAGATCGACGAGCAAAAAACTGGACGTAACAAAAGTTCTTCTAATTTAATTTCGTCATAAACTGGATTCTTCTGGTCGTTTGGCTCCAGAAGTTCTTCTAATTTAAATTCGTCATATATTGGATTTTTGGTCGTTTTGCTCCAAAGGTTCTTCTAACTTTTAATTTGGTCGTTGGATACTTTGGACAATTCAATTTTGGTTCTTTGGTTATATTTTGGATACCTTTGGACATTTTGCTATTATTGGCGAATACGTTTGGAATAATTTCACATTTGCTTGGTAATCGATTTCTAACAAAATCATCCAATGGAAACTAGAAGCAAAAGGCTGAAGGAGCAGGACGAAATGGATGGTAAATTTTCTAAAGCTGTTTGTGGTATGTCTGATGTTAATGATGATAAACTTGATGATATTAGTGTTAATAGTAAGACTTCATCTCAGTTTAGTACTTCTAGATTTAAGTTAGATAAGGCATTAATTAAGAAGAAGAATTTGGAAAAGAGACTTGAGTTAGAAAAGCAGCTTAAAATGTTAGAGCTTCAAGAGGAAGTTGATATGGCTGAATTAGAATGTAAGGTCATGGAAAACGATATGGAAGTGACTAGTTATCTGCGTGCGAGACAGGGGGATTCTTCAAATGCATTTACATCTACCTCACACCCGGAATTTGAGAGAGTTGTTAATTGTATCAGAAAATTATACCCTCTTGAAGAAGGAGTATGTGACCCCGATGGTTTAGAACCCCTTGATGTGTATCCTAGTGAGAAGCCGGTTTGTGTAGCAGATAAGATGGGTTTTTTGAAGATGGAAAAGAAAGAAAAAGGCAAAAAGGGTAGTCATCAAG